ATCAGCATATTATAATGATTTCTATAGGATCATGTGACACTGAAGACTGGAGTAATGATGCTGAAAATTCAGCTTTGCCATCACAGGAATAAAATCATTTTAAAATATTAAAATAGAAACTGTTATAATATTTCACAATATTACTGTTTTTACTGTATTTTTGATCAAATAAATGCAGTCTTGGTCAGCATAAGAGACTTCTTTCAAAACCTTTTTTTTTTTATCTTACCAATCAATCTTTTGAACAGTAGGGTTTTTTGGGTTTTTTTGCATTTTACAGTTATATTTTTATAGCATTTCATGAAAATAAATAAATTCACTACTTCTTGTTTGTGTAAACTAAATGTCTGTTCTAGTTTGTACTTTGCTGAAGAAAGTATTTATTGCAGCATTCGTGTTTCAGAACTCCTTTGTATGAATCACTCGTTCTAACATTCCTCATCTGTAAGTCACTTTGGATAGCAGCATTTGCATGCAGGCTCTGTAAGCAATATAACAAGCATCCTTGTATGCTGTGGAAATTTGACAAAATAAAGAAAGTGTAATATGCGCACATCCAAAAACTTTAGGCAGGGGCTCGATCACACTTCACTTGTCAATAAACAAAAATCGGCACACTGCCACTACTGCTCTCAAAAACGAAGTTTATTAAAATCACAACGTTTCGACCCTAAGGTCTTCGTCAGGCAAACAACAAGTGATCAGAAGAGTACAATTTATCGATATGGATAAATTGTACTCTTCTGTTCACTTGTTGTTTGTTAACACTTTGTTTTTGAGAGCAGTAGTGGCAGTGTGCCAATTTTACAAAATACCAATAAAATTAAATGTACAAAAGGGATCTCCTAAAACAAGAAATGTTCCTTCACTGTAAATTATAATATTAGTTATTAAATAAAGAGCTTTATTTAAAAAGTACACCAGAGATACCGGGAACAAAAGCCTGGAAAGTCCCTCAGTACTGGGCCAAATGCTTAGCATAATATTAAACAGATAAGCTTAGATAACGCTCATCCATTTCACTTTCACTGAAGTAAAACATTGATCTTGCACCATCGACTTGTGGATGTATCAGTGAGTGCACTAGAATAGACGCTGAATATTATCTGTCAAACATTATTTCTGTCAATACTCCATGATTGATGATGTAAAAATAATAAAAACACCGGCATACAGGGAGCAGTAAAATACACACTGTTAGCTTGTGAGCTAAAGCAAAAGTCAGACTGTGTTTGTGTGGAGGGAAAGTTTACTTTACTAAGAGAAGCAGAGGGTGGTGGGCTGGGAAAAGGATATTACTGCCCAGAAACACTTACAGAAATTCTCCAGTAGCTGAACTCAACTGGATTCTGGGACTTTCTGTTGTTACTAAAGCAATCAGAAAGGCTGATATTTATTTGAAAATGACCGAATAATTCCACCTGTGCTTGCTTTCATTAGTTCAAGGCCAAGTATCTCAAATTTACAGGACTTTGCGCTCTCTTTAATGTCCTTGTAGATCAATCAGAAACCAAATTATGCATACACACTCATGTAGTTATGGGCAACACTGAATGAGACACTGAAGAAGTTATTGACCTTTCTCAGATGTGCCCTTATTTCCATACATGAATCTTTATCAGAAAACTGACCTAACTGAGCAACAAGTTGGAAATTCTTTAATGCGATTTCTATTAAAGGGGTGGTTCACTGGGTTTTTTTCTAGGCTTGATTGTGTTTATGGGGTGCAGTCTAACATGTGTTAATGCCTCGTTAAAAAAAAAACAAAAAGAAACATTATTTTTCACATAATTTACCTTTATTCCACACCGCTCTGTCCCTTCTCTGAGAAACGGGCTGATCTTTTCCTGTTTTTATGAAGCCCCGCCCTCAGAAATAGGTGATGGGCTCTGATTGGTTAGCTAGCCCAGTGTGTTGTGATTGGCTAAACCGCCTCTAGTGCGCGTCTAAATGTCCCACCCCTCATCTCAGCGGCATGTGTTCCGGTTGTATTGTTAAAGGGGTCATATGATGCGATTTCAAGTTTTCCTTTCTCTTTGGAGTGTTACAAGCTGTTCGTGAATAGATAAGATCCCTGAAGTTGCAAAGA